TTACGCTGCTGTTCTCTCAACCACTGTGTGTTGGGGGCAGGGGGTCTAAAACCAGCTGTAACCAAGTGTCTATGTATGGAAACTGGTCTGGGTTCCCTGGCTTACAGGTTACCTTGTGCCATACCTTTGAAAAAAGGGACCTGTCCAGGCTTCCTTCTAATGGCCAACCTACCTCTAATGCTGGCCAGTCTATCTTACGCAAAGTTTTAAGTTTTCCTAGTGTCATAGTACTCTATAGTCTCCTTTAAGTTCTTTTTTGAAATTTTTCAACATAGTTCCTAGAAGGGTGGGCTTATTTGTGCCTGACCTATGCTTCTTTGAGACAAAACACCACGCTCACACCACAGGCATACCACAACACAAAGAACGGGTAAAAAGGGCACACACACACTTCTGCAGTTTGCACCAAACCAAAATCAAAACCAAAATCAAAATCAAAGTATCCAGAAATCCAAGCCAGGTCAAAACCAAAACCAAAGTAGCAAGCAATCCAAGTCAAGTAAAAACAAAACCAAAGTGCCAGTACAGGCACACCATGGGTGATCAGGCCACACTTCCACTCAAATGGAGTAGGCAAGTTCCCAAGACCACTCCTGTCAAGCAATTCAAACCAAGTCAAAACCAAAACCAAAGTGCCAATAAAGGCATGCCGTGGGTGATCAGGCCATGCTTCCACTCAAATGGAATGGGCAAGTTCCCAAGAGCAGTCCTGTCAAGCAATTCAAACCAAGTCAAAACCAAAATCAAAACCAAAGTGCCGATAAAGGCATGCTATGGGTGATCAGGCCATGCTTCCACTGAGACAGAGTGGGCAAGTTTCAAAGACTAGTCTTACCAAGTTTTAGATGTCCAGACTCCAAGTGCCCATTCCTTCCCGGTGTTCAGCCACTGCGTTGATCCTCCATGGGGGCCTGCCACACACTGCTCTGGCGAGGCGTCCCACTGGGGCAAATGCCTACCCGGGAGCACTCTCAGGACCCGCATCGCTGGGGCTGGTCGAAGTCTCCCCCAGCAATGTTCCACAGGGCAGGCTTAAGTTGCCTAAGAAGCTGCCTCGACCATCTGCCAATCGCCTCGCTTCCCGGTCAGAGAACCAAGAAACGTAGCAGGACTAGCCACAGACAAAACTCCTCAGACACCAAGTTAAAAAAGAAAGGGGTTTATTCAGCTGGGGGCATCAGCAAGACTCCTGTCTCAAGAGCCAAGCTCCCTGAGGGAGCAATTCCTGTCTCTTTTAAGGGCTCGCAACTCTAAGGGGGTGCGCATGAAGGGGTCCTGATCGATTGAGCAAGCAGGGGGTTGACTGGGGGCTGCATGCACTGGTAATTAGATCAGAACAAAACAGGATAGGGATTTTCACAATGCTTTTCTGTACAATGTCTGTAATCTATAGATAACATAGCCGATTAGGTCAGGGGTCGATCTTTAACTACCAGGTGAAGGGTGTGGTGCTGGGCTGTCTGCTTGTGATTTCATTTCTGCCTTTTAGTTTCTACTTTTTTTTTTCTTTGGAGGCAGAAATTGGGCATAAGACAATATGAGGGGTGGTCTCCTTCCTGATTCGCACTAAAGTCAGCAGCAGATGCAACAGGCTTTTCAGCCCCCTTGAGGTGAATGCGTTTTCCAAGTAGGACGAGGTCTCTGCACACCAGTTCTGGATCTGTGGACATGACACAAAGCATAATCACATAAAATTGATCTAAGTGGACTTGCTACACAAACTCTACTTCAATGCAGTAATGGCAGTGACCTGCTGGCTGTTAATCCTCACAGGTCTAGCCATGAAATCATCAAGTAGTCTTAAGGTCTTTGTGAATGTCCCAGAGCCATCAGATTGGATTAGTAGCTGACAGTGGCTCTTCCCTCTGATGCTGTCGAGTGCTCCAGTAAATTCAGAGACTTGTGTTAGCAGTCTTGATGGGCTCTGGACCATTAACAAATCTAATATACAGCCAAGGCCAGGTGTGGTGGCTCATGCCTGTAATCCCAACACTTTGGGAGGCCGAGGTCAAGGTGGGAGGATGGCTTGAGCCCAGGAGTTCTGGGCAACACAGCAAGACTGCATCTCTACAAAAAATTAAAAATAAAAAAATTAACCAGGTGGGTTGGTACACAGCTGTAGTCCTAGCTACTCAGGAGGTTGAGGTGGGAGGATTACCTGAGTCTAGGAGGAGTTCAAGGCTGCAGTGAACTATGATCAAACCATTATACTCCAGCCTCGGCGACAGAGTGAGATCTTGTCTCAAGAAACAATTCATATATGTGTGTGTGTGTGTGTGTGTGTGTGTGTGTGTGTGTGTGTATAAAATAACCAATGTGGTCTACAAGCTTAAAACACGATTTAATTCGCCATAAAATGTTGATGTACAAAGAAAAAGAAGAAAACAGCAACAATAATAACAACACTAATAAAAGCTGACTGTGACCCAAAGCAAGTCTCTACTCTTTATGTATATTACTACATTTAATTCTCACAACATCCCAGGGAGAGAGGTATAATTTCCATTAAACGGATGAGGAAACTAAGGCTGAAAGGTTTTGCCTAAATTGACCCAAAGCAACACAACTGGTAGGTGGTAAAACTGAGACTTTGAACCTAGACAGCTCTGCCAACTTTTAGCTACACATCCCCTATCTTTTCCTAAACTGCTTCCTGCATAAAGATGTTCCACAGGTGGTATTCTGAGTTGAGTATGTGCAAAAGACCACATTACAGATGGTAAGAGAGGCTCCTTTTTTTAAATCTAAGAAATAAATTATCGTTGCCTCACCCATGGTGATCTTTCTGGATTTTATCCTACAGTAAATAGAAAGTGGGAAGATAATCATTTTCCTTGCTGTTTGTTGCCTCTGTAATATGTTGGTCCTTACAGACAAATATTGTATTATAACTTTAAATGATTAAAACTTTCAAAAAGATCATTAAATATAGATAAGTTGCTTAAAATGAGAGACAAACTCAAATGAATCAAAAAAACTAAAATTTCACAAATATAAATGAAATAATTTTATTTCCCAGAAATACCAGTTTAGATTAGGTTGGATTTTTTTCTCTCTCTCTTTTTTGAGACAGAGTCGTACTCTGTCACCCAGGCTGGAGTGCAGTGGTGCAATCACAGCTCACTGCAGCCTCCCTCTCCTAGGCTCGAGGAATCCTCTTGCCTCAGCCTCCCAAGTAGCTAGAACTATGGGCATGCACACCACATCCAACTATTTTTTTTTTTTCCGGTAGCATTGGGATCTCACTAGGTCACCCAGGATGGTCTCAAACTCCTGGGCTCAAGCAATTCTTCCTCCTCAACCTCCCAAAGTGCTGGGATTACAGGCCTGAGCCACTGTGCCTGGCTAGTTGCTTTTAAAATTCACATATGTTTATTTTAAATTCAAAGACTTCAATAAATGTATATCTTACAGTCAAAGTTGAAAGTGAAACTTATTTTCAAGGTGCTATTGATGTCTAAGCCAACTTGTTTGCTAAGTCATGTGTTGATGAGCCTAGAAAGTCCATTTTTTACCACATGTGCGAGCATCTGGCTAACAATAACAATAATAACAACAACAACAAGAGCCCTTCTCTTGTAAGTGGACGTTAACAACAGGAAAGTTCCCACTTTAACGAAACGACAAATCTTTTACATTGTATTATTTATCTGCATGCTTGTCTTTATCTCCTGGAACAATGTGTGCTCCCCCTGGTGGCCAGAATAATACTTTCAGCTTCCCAGTTCAAGCTAATCATATTCCAACTTGTTTGCCAAAGAAGCGTTTTATTTTTTATGTTTCACAAATTTCAGGCTCCAATTCAACTTTTTAAGAAGTCAGTTTCTTTCCACTCATTTAAATATCTTGCTTACTTTTCATCCAAGAGATTGTTGTTAAATCTAGGAATTTTTGTTTTGTTGTTTGTTGCTTGGGGTAAAATAAAATCTTACAAAGCTAAAACCACATCCACAAATGACTGAAAGAGACCCTGAAAGTTAAAATTGTGAGGTCTATCTAAGAAATGACACTGCAGATAATCCATCAAGTCAATATATTTCACCAGAGAAAAAGGAAATAAGACGTTACAGTATGGAAATGTAATTTAATAGCTGAATGAATACTTATCTGCCTATTTCATCCTTAAGAAGAAAAAGGAAAGTTAAGGCAACCCAGGTGGTTACATTATAATGCAGTCGAAATTCCATCACCCATGAAAACTGCAATTGGGATTCCACTTTTGGATTTGGCCGGCCAGAAACAGATGTGTGTTCCAACAAGAATCACAGGCTGCATCTCCTGGACAAGAGCTCTTTAGGGTGCAGCAGGAGTTTCAACTGGTTTTAACTCCAAAGAAAGGACTAGACTAAACTGAGTATAATTGTTCCAAGTGTTTAGAATTCCCAAGTTGGACTGGGGCTAAATGTGTGGTTCTCATTTTATGGCCTTGAAAAAGAAGACAGTGTGATTCTTCCTTGTTCTGTTAAAAAAGAAAAAAAGAAAAATTTAAGGTTGAGATACAAAGGTTTGGCTAGAAATATCTCAACCATAGGACATTTCTTCAGTGAGTCAGGCTGTGGTTCAGACAGCAAGGTCAAGGTGAAAACCAAATACCACTTTGTGCATAAATCTCGTTCATTAAAAGAAGGGACTCAAATGTTTCTTATTATATAGACTGTCTGGATGCACGATCCTTTCAACTGAGTTCCTCGGGCACATTCTAGCAAGATTCTAAATTCATATCATCCAGCATTACATGGGGCAGGTAGAGTTTCTTTTGAAAAGAAACCCAGGCCAATGTAATCCTAGCTAGGGAAGCTGATGCCAGGAAATCTACAGTGTGCTTTACCGAAACCACAGTTCAATTAAATAAATTCCATCCTTCTTACCAGGAGTCAAGAAACACACAAATGGCAGAAATACAGTTGTCAGTGAGTGGGGTTCACTCGTCAGGAGGTTAATTCCACATGGATTTTAGTAAATTGAATTTGGGATAGGTTAAAAAAAAATACTTGTGCCAGTATTGAAAATCTAAACTTTATTTGTAGCCGGTATTTCTTCAGACAAGGTTTTGCCGCACCCCTCTGCCTCCATGTCTCTTTCCTGGCCCAGAGAGACTGACTCCCTCCAAAGGAGAGGAAACCTTCCCCTCACATCTTCGAATGCCTTTCAGTGATCTGTAGAACAACTCAGGGCATATTCAAGAAGGGCAAAACTTCATGCCTCTTGTTCCTCAATCCTCCTTTCCTTTGGTTTGTTTTCCTTACTTCTTGCCAAAAAGCAGCTACCTTTGGCAGGGAAGTTACTACAATCCATTGCAAGTACTTCCTCCAATAATGAACACAACAAAATCCTGTCTTTATTCATTTAAAGCACGAAGCTGGCCCTCTTTACAAATACCCTGTTTTTAATAAATCCTTGGTAATAGACATCCATGTACAAGAATAAAGTGGATACATTGGAGCTGAAGCTGGTGGTACACACAGCAAATCTTCAGCTCATGTCTGTGTGTGTGCACAGCACAACTCATTAGGGTGCGCCTTTAAATAACACATGGACAGAAACAGATACTTTCCCGCATGCATGTTTTTGCTGGAAAGATTCACAAAACACTGTAACAGCATTCACCTTTAAGAACAAAGATAAGAGTAGGAAGAACTTCCACTTTTCATTTTAATGTTTCTGTACTGCTTGAGTTTTTTAGTGATACACATATATTATTTCTATTCTTTCAAAAAATCAGAGGGCTATTGAGTGATTATGTCTTTATTTTGGGGGGTTACATCTCTATATTTTTCTTCAAAAAAAACTTATTCTCAAATTAAAAAAATAAAAGGCAAAGACAAACTGTGTTTAGGGAGTGATTGTTTCTCAAATTATTCTACCTGACGTGGTGCTGCATAATTTTATTATGAGCTCTCAATGCCTCCACAGATCCATATGAACAAAGAGCAAAAGTGCAATATTCCAATGGGATCTTTTGGAAAATATTTAAATTCTGGGTCTCCCACCAACCTTACAAGTGATTCCTCTAACTTTTGTTAAAAGATAAGCAAAATTGTCTCCAAAGAGGTGAAGCCACACCAGTGCCAGTCTTCCTACAGGGCAGGTCACCGTGTGCATTACTGCATTGAAGGCTACATTTCACAGACAAGCTCAGAGAGGTCCCAGTCCCCTGACACATACAGTGGAGCAGAGATTTAAGCCAAGTTCACTGAGACATTCTGTGACCCCCAGCCACGAGAGAGGGGGTATGTCCCTCCACACCCCACATGAAATGCCAGAGCCTGCTGGCTCTGAGACGAAGGTTGCCTATCCTCTGTGAATGCTCCCCCCAGAGCCAGGGAACTCAAAGACCCGCCTCCAGCCACAGGATACAGGGAACAAGAGGCAGATTTGAAAAATGCCTTCCTTTGCAGGTGGCACTTAAAACACCGGTGCTTTGCATCCATCCTGGGGCGCATTTCCCAGCTCTTCTCCCCCAGAACCCTGATCAGCTCAAACACAGAAGTGGGCCATAGCAGGGAAATGAGGATGGTGACAACTCAAAGGTAGAAGTTGTCATATAGATTCTTCTCATTCCTTCAGAAAAGGATGTGATGTCTTCCTCCTGGCCTGAGAAAATCAGTCCTTCTCCAGGCATCACAAATGGGTGCATGAAAATTCTGTCCAGGATGTCACAACTGAGCATGCAATGCTCATATAAGCACAAGGAGACACGCTGAGAGGATGGGGGACTTGGGAATATACTTCTTTGTCATACTTTTTTCCTATTATCAGTATGACTAGCTCTTCTAGAGGATATGCTGCCATGGAAGGCTGACCTCAGTCTCAAAGTCCAAGTCTCAATCCTGCCTCTCTGATGAGATAGTGTCACCCAGTTTCCAAGGACAAGCCCACTAATTCATACCTTGCTATGTGGTCTAGAGAAAATAAATCAAATCTCTAGCCATCACTAACACTGTCTACAAAATGAAACTTTAAAAAAAAAAAAAAAGACAAGAGACTTTGAATCTGAGAAGAAGAGTCTCTCTAGGAAAAAAGTAAGTACTGTTTTCTAATTGATACCTTCAACAGGTACTATCACAAAGAGATGCAATAAAAACAGTTTACCACTGGTCCCCTAGGTGGGTCCAGTGCACACAACAAGCAGGCAGCTCCACTCACAAACAGCAACTTCAATTCAAAAATCTCTTCCAACAGTTTTAGAAAGTCAAACAGAGAGAGGGAAAAAAAAAATTAGCCAGAAGCCCCTTTGTAGTGCAAACCCCCTAGATTACTTGGTAGCCTGGGATTGTCTTCTTTAGCTTTTAGAATACTAGAAATGTTCTGAAGAAATCCTCCATTCTGGCTTATTGCCTTTTGCCCATTTTACTCTTTTCAGAATTAACTGCATTTTAAGATGATTTCTGCATATTTCCTCTCTAGCTCAGTTTCTCAGGGCCCATCCCTTGCGAGGGAAGAAGAGGCTCCCCACCCCATTGGCAAATGCCTTCCCCATTTCCATTTCGCTTTCTCTTCCACTTCTTGACCACCCTGGAATGCAGGTGCTCCTGAGGAAACCAAGAAAATAATTTCCCTTGATAGTGTTCATCCTGGAAACTCAGGGGAGAGAGTAGCTGCGGAGTAAGAATTCAACACTCTGCACTCAGAAACAGACTTGCTCACCTCACCACACACCTTTCAGACGCTTTCCTTTATTCAGAGGCAGCCACCTTTAACAGGCGATGTCAGGCTCTCGCCAGGGATATTGCTGTGACTACAGAATTGCATTATGTCCAGGGTCCCACCACCAGCTCACCTAACTTGGAAGCACTTCACAGCTCTTGCAGCTGGCTCTAGAAGACGCTTTCTGGGTTGTTTTGTTTTGTTTTTAACCCTCATCCCTTGCAAACCAGAAGTCCAAATGAACCTTTGTACCTGGAAGCCGTTTGTGGTTTAAATTAACAAATGTGCTGACCCCTGAACACCAAAAAGTGCTGATGTGTTTACCATTTGTTTGATTCCCTGGCAAGTGTTTTGAGTGGAGGGATGGGAGGAGACACCTGCAGGACATCCAGTTTTCTAAGCACAGAAAACGCCAACAACCCCTGTGCTCCCTACTCCTATCCCAGTCTTCTTTGGGGTGACATCATCTCAGAAGGGAAGAGAAGGCCGGCGGCCACTGGGCTCTGAGAAAACAGATTTCCAGACAATATACTGCGGGGATCGAAGGCAGAGGACAGTTCATGGAGGATTTTTTAGGGTTTGTTATTACAAAAAATATATATAAAATAAAGGCTGTGGCTTTTCTGTCCACTTCCTAGGTTTGAGCTCCCCTCCATTAGGGCTGGGGGTCTCAGAGGAGTGAAGGCTACAAAGTCCCAGGTGCCAAAGAAGGGACTGTCACCGAGATGGCTCTAGGGCTCTCAGGGACTGAGGGAGGGTTGGGGAAGCAGTAAAACAAAGGGAATTGGGGCCCTTAACAGTAGAGTAAGAGAGAGAGAGAGGGAAAGACGGGGATGGACCAGGAAAAAGGGCTGAGAGCATATAGAGGAGTAGAGGAGAAGGGGAAGGAGCGGGACTGGAGCAGAGGTTGGAGCAAGGAGAAGAGAGTGGAAGGGCAGAGGGAGTCATGGAAGGTCAGGGAAAGCCGGGGGTGGAAGGGAGGGAGGAAAGAAAAGAGAAAGGGAAGGGAGGGAGAGTGAGAAAGAAAGAGAAGGGAAGGAAAGAGGGAGAGAGGCGAGACGGAGACGGACAAGAGAGTGACAAAAAAGAAATTTGAGGCTGGCAGAGCGAGGGAGGCCACGTCAGAGCAAGGATTGTGAGGAGGGTGCAACAGTCTAAAGCCAAAGTTAAGAGAAGCCTAAAAACCCAGGCCAATAAAGGAAGTGTGGTGGGTCCGGACAGAGGCAGGGCTGGGCCTGGGGGCTGGCTGGGCGTGCACCCCGGGGGCCGGCGCTGGCTTCCTCCGCCTCCGCCGCGTGTCCTCCGGTCCTGCCCGCGCAGCTTGCCGGGGCCGCTGCGCAGACCTGTGCGCCCGGGTCCGCCTGCCGTTCCCTCCAAGCTCGGGTCCGGGGAGAGCTGCCCCTAGGAGGTCGAGGCCGGGATGGGCAGTCCGTGTAAGCTACTGAGGGCGTCCGGGGCCTTGCTGCCGGGGCTGGGAGGCTTCCTGTCAGCCACTGCGGGAGGAAGCACAGGGGCGTCGGATCACTGCCTAACGCCGCTGCAGGGCGAGCGGCACTGGGACTCGACGCCGGCAGAGCGAAGTCGTGCGCGCTCAACCCTTGAAGACTCTGGAAGAGGGAAGCAGAGACTCGCACTCTCCAGAGACCCCAAGCTTCCGTGGGCGACCAGCCCTCCCTCTCCCGCTAGGGTAGCCACTTGCAAGGACAGCCTTGGCAAGCGGGACTCCTCGCAAGGCCATTTGCAAACACTGACCGCTGGCGGGGTGCAATTCCCGTTGCCTTCCAACCCCCTCACCACCTGCTCAGTAAAGGAAGTGAAGGGCGCAGAGGACTGGGAGAGTTTCAGGTCTGATGGAGACTTCCGGAGAAGGGAGCGGGACTCTAACGTTGCGCGGACCCTCACCCTTTCCAAACCCCAGGCGCGCGCACAAGTGCGAAGGGCAGCCAAAGCGTCGAGTCAGCTGACACCGGTGGCTCCGAACTCGCTGTGGGCAGGGGGAAATCGTGCGGGAAATGAGCCACCAGAGATTCCCCTGGAGCGGCCTGGATTCCTCCGACACAGGAGGCAGTTGGGCTTTAAGTGAGCGGCAGACTTCGTTGTGCTCACGAGGTCCGGGGATCGAGATGCGCTCACCACTGTGGGCACAGCACGTCCTGGGACCTGTGGGCCTCCGGATTAAGTGACAGTGGGATGGCCAGATCGGGTGGTATTCTGCGCTTTACTCTATTATTTGGGGGTTTGGGAAGGGGCCCGAGTTTTGCTACTGGAAGCCAGAAAGTGACGCCACGATTGCGCAAGCCTGTTTTTCCTTTCCCACCCTTGGGCCACTCTGCTTCTCCTACAACCAGGATCCACAGTTTGTTTATACCTACAGGGGCCTATTTTCAATTTTCTTTTTTCCCCAAGTCCTCCTTTAAAGGGGGAGCTTGGAGCGCTTCAATTTGCGTGAGGGGAACGCTGGATTTTTTTTTCTCCTGCAACTTCCCTCGCCTCAGCCTCAGGCGCAACTTGCTGTGGCTGCGCAGAGCTGGGCCAACCACCTCTGTGCAAGACACACACACCCACACACAAACACACACAAACACACGGTTTCGCTGAGATTTTAAAGAGGTCTAAAGACCTTCCCCGGACAGTGGCCCCTCTGCTTTTCCCTGGCTCTCAGCTCTTTTTTCTAAACATGGTTGTGGCCGCCCAGCCAAGTATTCAGACCTTTTCTTTCTACCCTGGACACACACTTCAAAGTGAGGACCTGTTTAGAAAACATCTGAGGAGGAGGAGGTTTCTCAGCCAAGGGACGGTTACCTTAGAGACAAGCAAGAAACTGAACTCATGAAAAATAAACACCCAGGACGACTGCATCCCACCGTACAGGGGCGAATCCTGCTGTGTTTTTAGCCCAGTCCAGACCATCCTTCCTCATAGGGCCCCTCCTGCCCTCCATTCCCTCCACAGGACAAATGGGTGGGTACTTCTGGGCCCTCGGAGGCCAGGGTCTGGGTCAGGCTCATTTAATTCAGGGGCTAAGAAGGGGGAGAGGCATTTTTGTAATATTCAACTGCAATTGCAGGGCACTCTGGGACCACCGTTGACGGGAAGGGACCCCTGGGGTTGGGTCAAATGAGGCTGCGGTTGGGAGCATCCGGGTGCCTGCGACAATGCCAGCGCCCTAGTGCTCCCTGACAAAGTTTACTTCTAGGATCCTCCAAGAACCCATCCCCAGGCAGAGGTAACTAGAGCAAAGCTGCAAGTTATCTTTAACAAATATAAGCAATACATTTTCTTTGTGAGTATGCAATATCTTTTAGATTTGATTTCCAAATCTTGAGTCATTCCAGAGCCCCACAGGGAGGGACTTAAAACCCTGAGGTTTCTAGGGTCTCTGGATACACCCTGTAAATACCAGCTGTCTTGAGGGAACATCTGGTGGTGTCTGCCACCTAAGAGTGGGGAAGGGGAGATGGTCGTCCCCTGGCTGTGAAAAAGCATTTGAATGTGTTTGGAGATTCCTAGAATGTCAGCCTCTCCAAGTGAAGATTAAGTGAAACTTTTCCTATTCTTCTCAATTCCCAAAAATTAAAGTTTCCTTTCAGGGGATGGGGAATGTAAATTATACTTTTTGCCTACACAATAGGAAACCCAGATTCACTACCTTTAAAAAAAAAGAAAAAATTAATTACAGTATTAATTAAATAACACAATTAATCAATTAATATCTAATTTATTGCTAAATTTTCATTTTGACATTTGATTAAGTTTCACTTAGGGTAACTGTTAAGCTGTTCATTTGCACTAATTTGGAGGACATGTTGATATATATTGCACTGTATGTGTGTGTTGTGTGTATGTGTTAGGTGATCAAAGGTATTTGCTTTTACTGAGCATTTATTAAATTAAATTGCTTTTCATTATACAGAAGAATTTTATCTTACTCAAAAGAAATTCAGTAAATGCTATTCTCACTATTCTTATGAATTGAACAATTGGTGATAGTAAATTGTCCTGTGGGACAGGTTTCTTTGAAAATATTAATTTCTTAAGAACTGGTCAGAAAATAAAAGGCAGTGATTTTTATTATTTTTCTGTCTTTTCAAAGACTAGTTGTGTTGAGGAAATAGATCTTTGAAGTCCGCTGTTCTACCAGTAAGGAGTAAAAGTCCATAACGCAAGTATGTATGTAATTCTCAGGCTATGAATATAGATAGATAATGAATGATTATTTCTACATTCCTGTTCGAACACAAACAATTGCATGCCAGCTTGAGAAATCATTACTAATGGTGTCCCCGAGTTATCTGATTATCTTTTATTAGAACCTTTAAAGAACTGGGAGGACCACAAAATTAAATTAACTTAATAACTAGAGTAACAAATTATTGCTGCAGTTTTTGAAAACAGGTAGGATATTACATAATAGCAAGCCAATATAATGGTAAAAGGGACTTAAATGCCAGCACCGTTCAATGGCTCTGTATTTCTGAAAAGGAAAGTGTCTTCTAAAGAAAATCAATCACCAGTGAGGCTAAATGTTAAAATCAGCTTCCCCACGACTTCCACCTCAAATTAAATGAGAAGTAGTTTAGAATTAGGAACTGTGTGTGCTACCTTTGGGTTATTATCTGCACTTTATAATTTGTGTCTAATGTGGAGCTTAAAATGCCTCCAGGGCAAAGTGGCTCTATTGGAAAACAAATGCATTCCTCTGAAGACTGTGGGTCTTTTTTCTAAGTCTTCCTTCTCCGTAAGATGAACCCAGGGAAACATTTCAAATCTGTGGTTATACTTTTTAAATTCAAAAGAACCTGCTTATTTAAGCAACTTGTGTAATGTGGTACATTTCATTTTGATTTCGATTTGGGCAGATAACTTCAGTTGTTGAGAAAACAGGTTGATTGGAGGCTGAGGATGAGTGAAGTGCTCATCAGCGACCCCTTAGCTATCCTTAAATGTAAAGCTTAAAGGCGTTCTCACTCTCAACTTTTAACATTTCCTTCACTTGGATTTTTGTATAAATGAGCAAGTGATAGTATTCCATTTAAATTAAACCTAAAGTTTAAAAGAGCTCTAAATCCCAATTTTTATAAATTTTCCTTACTTGGATCTGTCTGTAACTAAGCAAGTGAACATTATCCTAATATCCCAGGATGTCTGTGCTCTAGGAAAGGTGGAAATAGAAAAGTATTTTTCTCCCTTCGTTTCACTGTCGTGGATGGCATCTTTATTTTCTTCCTGCCCCCATCCCCACCCCCGCTCCCCAGGGCATGCCCTCCTATCTTATCAAGACTATTTGGAAATAGCACTTTTTGCCTGGGCAGCACCAAGGAGGATGGCCCTCCTGTCCCCTGCCTGCCCACTGCCACCTGCCACTACATCCACCTGGCTTCCAGACCTGGACAGGTGGAGGCAAAGCAGCTAGTAAAAATCCTTTTACAATCTGAGAACACCACGCTGTCCCCCAGGTTTGTGCCTTGTCCCTTTCTCTGCTAGGGCTGGGAGGCCCTGGGGTGACCCTTTCCTTTCCCAGGTTGGTTGAAGTTGCAAATTTCTGGTGCTCAGAACCTAAGCACTGGCAAGTTCGAAATTAGCAAATCAAGCCATTCCTTTTAACGACAAAGAGCATGAGACTCAAGGGCTGGTGAGCTTTTCCCAAGTGAAAGGAAAAACTGGACCCCTCCGGGCAGTGTGAGAAGATGCCCCTCACACTGCTGACTGTCAGTGAAATACCTAAAATCTCTTCCTTGACTTTTCAGGAAGCGGACTTATGGAAGAGGAAGAGGAGGAGGAAGCAGAAAAGGAGGCAAGACTACCAGGCACATTTTCCACAGAAAGAGAGAAACCCCCCCTCCCCCGCCACCCACCACCACCACCAACAACCACCACCACAGGAAGCTCCTGAGCCTGGAGTAAAGGACAATGATTCACATGGCCTCTACTTTCCCACAGTGTGTATTTAAGAAAAAGAATCCAAAGGCTCTTTTTTTTTTTTTCTTTAAGGAACCTGGGAAAAACAGATGGGCAGTGGGGCAGAGATGGGAAGGGTCCTGGGATGGAGGTCAGGTGCCACTAGCAAGTCCAACCCCACCTAAAGGGCTCAGGTGCTAGGGCAGGTCTACAGAAAGGTGAGCCTGGAGGGTGCCTGCTAGACGTGTCCCTGGATGGAGAAACAGAAACCCAGAAAGAAGCAGGAATTTGGTCGAAGGTGCCAGAACCGGATCCGAACCCACGTGTCCTGTGTGCCAGAAGGACCCCCCTTTCTCCTCTCCCCTCATAAGTGGAGGGGACAGTCTTGGGGCCAGTCTCTCTCAACCTCGAGTACCTTTATAGGGACACCTGTCAGAACGAATCTGCTCCAAGAAGCTACAGGCATAACGGTTAACCCAGAGGAAGGGTTTATGCCCAGGACCCACCTCTTCCCCACCCGCTCTCCCTTTTCCCAGGCTCACACCCCCTCCCCAGTACCTTTCCTAACCCTTCCGGTATCCACCCGACCCCCTCCCTGCGCTCCTCACCTTCTCGGTTGGGATGCTTGAAGGTCATTGCTGCCGCGAGTTCGCCGTGCACAGCTACGCCGGCCCCGGGGGGCGCCAGCGGTGGGCCTTGCGCCGGCGGCCACGGCGGGCCCGGGGCGAGGTAGCCGCCTCCCGGGGCGCTGTACACCCCGTGCTGGTTGGAGGCCGGGTAGGCGCAGGCGGGGAGGAAGCCGCCCACGGCAGAGAGGGTAGAGGCCGACTGTGGGGATAGAGGGGGACCGTCAGCAGCAGAAAATCCTGCCTTCTCTAGCCCACGCCATCACTGAGACGGGGGTTCTCACCCATTATCCCTCCCCCACGCCCTGTCCCCATCCATCAGCCCCATGAGAGGCCTGGCCTCTAAATTTCCTAGTAAGGACTCCTTGGCAAAGTGATTTCTAAGAATTCACTCAAACTGTTACAAATAATGATTTGAAGGGGTTATGGTGTTCATATCGGGATTTAGAGAAAGAAGGTCCTTGACTGTGGATCTGTGATCTGGAGTTCCTGCTTTTTTAGCTAAGGTATCTTGTCAAAGGCAAGTCAACCCCTCGAAAGTCAGACTCCCCCAAACTAGTACGCTTGAGGAAAGGACAAAAAGGATGCTTGCTGGCTGGCCTCCAGATACAACCATCTCTCTGCCTGGAAATTTTGTCTTTTCTTTCTCTTTTTCCCCACTTCCCCAAACCTTCTGCTTCCCTACTTAAGGTCACCTCCCGCACGGGCCTCCTGGTTACCTGAGTGTATTTAATGTCTGCCTCTAAGGCAGGTTTCTCCAGCCCATTCACTGCGGGGGTGGCGGGGAAGGCCGTGCGGTTCACACCGGCCCAGTCTTCCATCTTGGGAGAGTAAGTGGTGCATTCGCTCCCAGCCAGGGCCCCTGCAGGGGACAGAGGACAGATTAGAAGGTGCCTCTGAATCTGCCCTGGGCACATGTGTGGCCAACCACCCAGCTTGTATCTGAAGGCAGGGCCAGGGTTCCCACAAAATTTGTAGGTGGCCTGACACTCCACCAGTAGACAGAGGGCGACAGGGACTGGGATGTTCACCACTCCGGGTGGGGCAGAGGAAAGGCAGCCAGGCCTGCTGACCGGTCCTCCTAGCCTTCAGCCCGCTTCCCACGAATGCCAGGCTGCTGCTGAGTCAAAGCCTGGGCAGACTCAGCCAAAGCAGCTGCTGCATTGTCTAGACACAGCTCCCAGAAACTTCCAAGTTCAAATCTACAGCAACCTCAAGAAAATTGTATTGATTTCTCAACATCTGCACAAGCATCTGGAGGGCAGGGAGATGATTCTACCAGAACTGCCTCCAGAAATACCCAGGGTTTCTCAAAAGAAGTATCAACATTGTGGTCCCCGCGGGTCAGATAGAAGCAGACAGCTGCTCCCTGGGCCCTTGTGTGTGCCAGGAACCAAGGGAAAGCTCCAGATCTGCATGCAGGCTTGGTGGGGTCACCTCCCGACCAGCTGCCCACTGACATTCCATGGGAAGCTTTAGCCTCAGACTGGGTTAGAGCCACCGGGAGACACAAAGGGAGCGCAGGGCCACAGAGGCGCTGCTACTGCTGGAGCTGAGCACTCACAGTTTCTTTCCAGCCACCACTCTTTCCTCCTAGGCTACCTTGAATTTTGCTTCTTACCCTCCTCCTGAGTCTGCTCTCCTAAGAGTGTGACATCCCCTGGCCAGCTGCTGGCAGCCAGGGACAGGGCAAAGAAATCCAGACCGATTCTGGCCAGATTCTTTCCCCCTCAGGCATCAAAGTTGCCCCAAACTTCCCTGCCTTCCCCATCTTCCTCATCACCCATTTGACCAACAGTTTGTTGAGCTTTAATTGCAGATAAACGACAAATCCTTGTGAAGGTGGCTGCAGCCCCAGCAGCCATCACTCCAAACTCCAGGACCTGCAAGGCCACAGGGCCTTAGAGACCTAGGCCACTCAACTGACCACAAGATCCCTTTTCCTTTAACTCAGAAGAGCCACTGGGCCTGGGAGTGGGGGGCCAGAACCCTTGGGAAATTGTGAGGGATTCTGAGAGCTAAAGAAAGCGTCTCAAAATTGCCTGAGCGTTTTTTTCCCCCCTTAGATTTGGCAATAGGGATTTGCATACTTTTTGCAAGAATGAAAAAGCGCAATTTCAGGCCTCCAAATTTGTGGTTGGCGATTGCTCTTCCATTTGGGAAATATTTTCCATATTTGTCATAAAAAGTTCAAGATGTCCGAGGTCTCTGACAAAAGGCCCAGGACCCCCAGCCTCCCTGGCCAGTATGGAGCTCTCCCCTGAGCCAGAACCTGTCCCGGGAGGAGAGCGAGTGTGAGTCCTCTCCTGCAAGCCTGCCCGCCCCAGGTTCTGCCCCTTAATAGAAGGCTACGAAGGCCGCCACGACTGACCTGTTTGCTCCATAAACGTCCGGATGCCCAGGATGTTGCTGACCGAGTGTGCCGAGGGCCATGAGCGCGGGATGCTGACGTGGCCCGCCGTGCCTGGGACCCCGGGGTGGCTGCCCATCTTGGCGCCGGTGGGCGACACGGGACTGGGGTAGGGGTACTGGTAGATGTGGTTGTAGGGCAGCGTAGGCTGCGACGGCGGCTGCTTACTTGCCTCGTACGGTCCGGGCTGCGCCAGGCTGCCGATCTTGTTGCGCAGAATGCGGCTGATGGAGCTCACCGAGGGCACATTGTACTTGTCACAGACGCCGTCGGCCAGCAGCCGGTCGCGGATCTCCCAGGCAAAGATGCCAGGGTCTCCCTGCTTGTAGTCCCGGATGTGCTTGACCACGTTGGGAGTGGTGACGCGGGGCTTGCTGCCCCCGATGGCCCCGGGCAGAATGGAGCCGGTCTCGTTGTAGCGCGCCAGGATCTTGCTCACGCAGCCGTGGGATACGCGGAGCTGCCTACTGATGTCACAGGGTCTGATGCCCAGCTGCGCCAGCTCCACAATGCGCAAGCGGATGGCGTTGGGCAGGGGGCGGCCGTTGACGAACACACCGCCCAGCTGGTTCACCTCGCCATACGTCTGCTCTGCGGATGCGCCAGACAACAGTGAGCAGGCAGGGAAGAAAACACCGGGCGGGTTAGCCCAGGGTCCCCACGCGGAGCGAGGGACTGCACCCAGGCGCACTTCCAAAGGGTGACCTGTGGGTCCCCAGACAGCTCGGAGTTCAAGGGCAAACCGCCTGGGTCCGGCTCGGAGTGGGCAAGGGCACAGAGGAGCCGCGGAGTGGAGCGCCGCGCATTGTAGCCCTCCGTGCCCTTTCGCGACTTTTAGCGCGTCTACTTGGAACACGCCCTTCCCAGACTTGCTGAACTGTCCCCTCCTGGGGACCAGAGGAGAATGTAGCTCCTCCAGGACCCAGGACTGGGTCGCCCAGGGAAAGCGGACTAGAGAGAACGGAGGCACACGGACCCGACCCACCTCATCAGCCCGCCCGCGCCTTGTCTGTCGCCCGCCCCTTACCCATAGCGCGCGGGCCGGTCAGCTGCCTGGCGCCGGGGTGGCCGGGGTGGCCGGGGCTGGGCCCGGCGCAGTCCGGGAGAGCTTGGGCGCCGCCGCCGCCGCGGGAGAGGCATAGAGGGAGGGCGCGCGAGAGCCGAGAGCCGCGGCGGCCCAGCCGCGGGCTGGAGACGCGCTGTGAGCGGCCGCCGAGCGCTCTGCCGCCCGCTCCAGGGCCTGCCGCCGCCTCTGCTGCCCCCTCCCAGGACACTCTCCACGCCCGCGACCCCAGGCCCAGGGTGAACTTCATCCGATTGGGAGAAATTCGTCTGACCGGGAGGCTGCAGCGTGCGGGAATCAATTTGACGTGTCCTCCACGTCAATCTCGGCAGTCACGCCGAAGACGCGCGAGTTGGCAGCTCATTGGTTCCCGTCACTGCTCCCCAGCGTCCCCCTCCCAGCCCTGAAACTCTACCCCCTCCTTCTATCCTCCCGCCTCGGCCCTCCTCCACCCCCTCCAACCCACCCCTCTTACACACACACACACACACACACACACACACACACCATTTGGGCCTGGGACCTTGCACTACTCTGAGCCCCTTGCAGCCCCCTCCCTCCTCTGGCTTTGGGAATGATGGGGAAGTCATCTCAAATTGATTAGTGTGCTAGTACTAGTACTCGTTTTCGTTTTGGTTTTATTTTTATTTCCGCCACCATTAATAATAAGATAGAGAATAAAAGTTTATCGTGGCAAGGTGTTTAGGGTGTGGCTGTCTCTACCTCCCCACTCCCTGGGCAGCGGCCGGGGAACAGTGGGATCAATACCCCAGCTGGCTGGGAGTGTCAAGGTGAGTGTCCAGCGCGGTGCAGGGCGCCTGGCAGGAAGACACAAGGTGGAACTGATTCCTGCGTGTCCTGTTCTTGGCCAGGTCCTCAATCCTTCTCTCAGGAAATCCTCACAACGTTTAATAGCCGACCACTCTCGGAATAGTGGGGGTGATTTCGGTGATGCGAGAGGGGCACGGTCCAAATCCTGTCTCCTACAGCCAGGCCCAGCCACCAGAACTCATTCCTCTCCAAGAGGCGACAGAAGGGGCAGGAGGCAAAAGGATTCCGGCCTGCTGCTACTAGGCGCATAGATCCGGCGCCCTCCGGTTCTCAAGCGCGACCCGGGGGAGGCCAAATGCATAGCTCCAGCTCTAGGCCTGAAGGACAAGTTCCTTTCTCCTTGGAGGTGGAAGCCAGCACCACTCTATCCCGGGTGGCCTGGTCTCGTCTTTCTCCCAGCACCTGCAGCTTCAGGAAGTCTCGGTTAAACCACAAAATGGTCATTTCCCCTTCATTTAAATGAGGTTTTGCGCAGTCCTGAATTATTTGCCCCTGAAATTGAGTATCAACAATTTCTCTGTTTCTACCCTGCACCAGAGCAGTTCTGAACTCCCCAACCTGCGCAGCTAACCGTGTCCGGTAGCCATGCGGTGAGGCCCAGGAGGAGAAAACTCGTGGTTTTGAACCTGAACTGATTTGAGGGGGTCAGGACCTGAGAGTTCTGAGGTTGAGCCCAGTAAGCACCAAAGGCATATGGCCGAATGTGCTAGATCAGGAAGAGGGCATAGGGGAGAGAGTACGAACAGCAGAGATTTCTGAGACTCCCAGCTCTCCCCTGGAGGGGAGAACCCTCTTCCCCTCCCTCCCGCCCACCCCAAGGGTCTAGCTCTCCTTAGCCACCCAGAGTTGAATATGGCGCCAGCGCGGTGACAGTGGCTGAGGAGCACATGGACCCTATCAGCCCAGCCTGGGGAGCCATGGCTGCGGAGGCCCCGACCCCTTTCCCTCCACTGCGGGGCCAGAGAGCATCCCTGGCTCCTAATCCACCCGTCTAAATGTATCTGTTAAGACAGACTGACTTAGGCTCTCTAGAGAGAGCACGCAGTGGGGCCACAGGCAAGAATTACCTCCGGAAAAAGAGAAATCAGGTTTAAAAGAAGTGAACTCTTCCACTCCAGCGGCATGAACACAGTACAGTCTCTGTCCCTGGGAAGTCCTGGAGACCTGGAGGAGGTTTGAGGGTCAGCGCACTGGCAGGAGGATGCGAGAGTGGGAGCAGAGGAACCTATGTAGAAGATCAGGCCTGTCCATGACCGCGTAGGTTTGGAGTAAGGAACGGGGAAAGGGAATGATTTGGATTAAAGTGGGCACGCCAAAGCCAGGAGTTACGGGAAGGCAGCTAAGAAAGGACTAAGCTTGCACAGTATGCCCAGGACTCCGGGGGTGCGGGTAGTGGGGACGCACCCTGCCCAGTGCTCTCCACTGCGGAATCTGCTAGCCTCTGATCTAGACCTTTGTCGGGCGCGAGATACCAAGAAAGGTTGATTTCCAGACCTTGGAGTCTCTGAGATAAAGGAACGCCACATTCCTGCCTCAATCCCTTGCATACTCGTGATCCGGAAAAGCAACTAAAGCCGCTTCTTCCCTCCAGTAGGTGAGGAGGCAATAGGCACACTCAAAGAGGAGGAAATAAAGCCGGTTGTGACACCGTGAGAGCTGGTTAGCCCAACTACCCTTTCAGGGTAACGTCCACCCCACCTCTGCTGCCGAGCTTGGAAAACTGGCGAGGAGTCGCAGTCCGGGACAAAACTCCGCCCCTGCCCCCGTGAAGGCAGCCCTTGGCTGGGGGCGACTGTAGAGGAGTGAGTCTGGGGATTGCGCACGATGAGAGGGGGTGGTTCTCTGGGGTAGCGGAGTCCGCGGGCGCTCGTCTCAATCCCAGCCCCTTTCCCGCAGCCAGCTGTGCGCGATCGGGACCACACAGTCCTCGCTGCAGCCTTCTGCACGATCGGGCATAGGGAAAACCTTACAGTTTGTCGCCCCCTGTCGTCCCCCGGCTGGGCATCGCGGGTTCCCGAGCGGCAGGCTAGGCTTGGGGAGAGGTGGCCCTAAGATGAGATTGCAGAAGGAAAAGAAACGTCTCTCCCACCTCTCAAGGAGGCAGCTTAGCCCTCTCCATGGCCCGGGGACAGCTACTAGTGAGCGCTGAGCGCACAGAGGTAAAGAGCTCGCGGATTCTGCGTTTTTAGTTGTCTGGGTTTGGCACCGTATTTCAACTTGCTCTGGGCGCGGAGTTCAACAAAGTGCCGCTTCCAGGGTCGCGGGAGCCTGTTAGCTGAGGGCGCACTCAGAAACCTGGGGCAAAACTCTTCCGCCTGGGACTGGACTCCTACCAGGGCAGAGGATGGATGTGAGGGTACCCCAGTGGCCTCGGGCCCTCGTCCAGTTTTTCCCAAGGCAGGGAAAGAAAGAGAGGTAAACTCTGTGCCAAAATCAGGAGTCAAAAAGGAGGCGCGAAGGGGTGCCTGTCCTTCTGGGGACTGGAGTTGGCGGCAAGGGGGGTTACTGGTGAGTACTCCCTTGCTGCACGCCACCTGAGCCGTGAACTCAGCACCTGAAACTTCAGACTGCTAACCACCCAGGGGTTCGGTGACAGGGCTGCTCTTGGAGCTACAGTCGCCCCCACTTCAGGTCTCCTATGTCGCTTTGATTTTTGGTGGGTTTCGGGGAGTTAAAACAAGCAACAGGCCGGGATGTTCCCGGGGTCCATGCATTTCAAGGTCTCCAGGAGAAACCTTAAAAAGCTGATTTAAGTCCAACTTGGGCATACGGGTGCGCATTTCGGTTATTGTGGGAAGTAACAGAGAACAGAAAATACAGGTGGCACTCCCCGAGGGCCCAGGCCAGGCTTGGGCCTAACAACGAACGCTGGTACCCACCAGCAGCAGCCCGCAGGGGCCGCAGGGCCGGGATCCGGGATCTTCCTCACGATGCCCTAGCCTCAGGCCTTAATAGGCCTGCTTTCCCTCCTGCATGAGTCCTGACTCTGCTTAGGACCTGCGCTTTTACTGTGTTTTTAAGAGCACTGAGCCGTGAGTCCTGTGGTTCAAAATCAAAGTCAAATTGAGTCTCTTAATTTTCTTCTTAAATTTACTTTTGAAGAGAAAAAAAAAAGCAGCTCGGGCTAGAAACGCACTTTATGCATCATGTACCAAACTCCACACGTACACATGCCCACCGTTTTGCAAAAAGATCCGCCACACCATACTTAAAAATAATAAGAAGAAAATTGACGAAAAGAGAAATGAGGAGCTGCTAGCTGCAAAGAAACTGTGGGAAGAAAAGCTGAGCCAGATCGGGGAGCTGCAAACCCTCGGGAAACGCGAACAGCTAACAAACCAAAAGTTGGCTTGTGCGACAAAGCAACGAAACTCCGCGGGGAGTGACTGCGGCGACGGAAGAAGCGGGGCGAGGAAGGGAGAGGAAGACTGGATTCTGAATTGGCGCCTGTGAGCGCTGCCTCGGAGCGCGAGGTCAGCGCGTCCTCTCTACGTTGTGGATCCTCTAGGACGAGGTGGGGAGTGCGTTTTGCACAGAACCTGCCTCTCCTGACTGGGACACACAGACTTTCCAGACCCCAAATGGAAGGTGTTGAGGACCCTACCAGCTGGCAATGAAACAGAACCCCTAAGAGCGAAAAATAACGTCCTTGGCTTCGCAGACCCATTCTCGCAGCTTATTTTCATTTGGCCTGCAGCTGACCAAGGCGGTCCTAAAGTTGGTTCTTTGCCTAGGTGTGCATGATGTTCACTACCCTGGAAACGTTTATTATCGAAAATGAGTCGGGTCGGCAGTGGTGGATGGAGCACCGTTTCCGCTGACACTGGCCACTACGAACGAGTAATGTCCTTGGAAATGTATGGCGAGAGAAGCCAGGAAAAATTTTTCGTTTTCCTAAAATGAAATGAATAAACAAGAATAGGTGGACATTTTCAACGTGATTAACAAAACGCTGAAAGAGGAGTGCTCCTCAATTCTGTTCAGAGATGTAAGAAAAAAGCAAATTAGAAAATTGATTTGCTGTGAAACCTGCACTAGAAATAAATAGGGGGAAATTGAGTATTGGCAACAAAGATCTAAGATACTTTCTACCCTGCAATGCAGGGATCTGACTACTACGTTAATAACATTTATTTTGGAGTAGAAACATTTTAAACGTGGAATTTGGCTGATAAAAATAAACTACAGAGTTGGTGCCCTTCGTAGGAAGAAACGGTTTCTAGAGCCTTCAGGAGGATCTGGCATTCTTGCCATTCTTGTGTGTATATCCTCACTAGCCCCAAATCGAGTTCTGCAGATTGCTATTATGTCTCTCTCTTTCTCTGGTAATGAGCATGTCAAATAAGCCTCAATTTCCTCTTATATAAAATGACTTCTACCATGCAATTAGATCTTATTTAATTTCATTTCATCAACATGAATGCCTGCAGAAATTTCCAGACACGGGTCAAA